ATATTTTTTGACTTAAAAAATGCCTTTAATACTGCCAGGAAATACAGGATTCTAAAAACGTTATATGAGTGGAATATCCGGGGACACTGTTTATCGTTCATCAACAATTTTTTAACCAATCGGACTTTTCGAGTAAGAGTTTCCAATTCGTACTCGAAAACTCACAGCTTAACAAATGGTGTACCACAAGGGTCTGTTCTTAGCCCAACACTGTTCCTCATAGCGATTAATGATATTTTGAAAAACATAGAAAAACCTTTTACGGATTTATGCAACGGATTTACGCTGACGATTTAGTGGTATTTACAAAAGGAAAAAATATAGATAGTATGACAAAATGTTTACAAAGTTTTATCAATAAACTGGAAACATGGTCTCTGAATACTGGCTTTGAATTTTCTACTACAAAAACAAGTGCCATGGTTTTTGCAAAAACAGCAAATGTAAGTACTGCGTCAAATGTTACGTTATACGGGAAACCGATAACAGTAGATACTCATATTAAATTTTTAGGAATACATTTAGACAATAAACTGACATGGCGATAACATATAAAGCAATTACAATTAACCTGTCATAAGAGAATAAACATCTTAAAAACATTATCAAACAGTAAAATGGGGTTTTGACCAAAATACAATACTATCAGTATACAAATCGTTAATCAGGTCTAAACTCGATTATGGATGCATCGCTTATTGTTCTGCCAGAAAGTCTATTTTAAAATCTCTAGATACAATTCATAATAATGGCCTTAGAATCGCATTACGAGCATTTAGAAGTACACCTATTGAGAGCATATATGCTGAACTTGGTGAGCCATCCCTTTACCACAGGCGAATGCAACTAACATTAACACATTCATCCTCGGTATAGTGTAATCAAGAAAAACCTATTTACAGTAACACCTTCACAGATAAATATAACGAACTTTTTAATCATAATGATAAACTAAGAAAACCATACTATAAAAGAATTAGAACACATTGCAAGAAATTAAACTTTGATTTTCCTGACATATTCGATCCAAACATCAACGATCCTCATATCCCTTGGTCAATCAATATTCCACAGTGCAATGTATATTTGAGCAAATATAATAAGTCGGAAATACGTCCCTCAGAAATAAAAACTATTTTGTCAAATATGCTCCAAACTTATGAAAATGTCTCCAAAATATTTACAGATGCTTCAAAATCTAGCAATGGAGTTGGTGCCGCTTTTGTGATCAATTCAAGTAAATATGTATTTCAACTATCTCCCCACTGTAGCATATATACAGCCGAATTATTCGCTCTTTATCGAGCAATTAAGTTTCTTAATGATACCAATATCGTCCAAGCGGTGATTCTTTCTGATTCTCTGAGTTCGATTACTTCAATTCAACGAGTATATCCTAAACACCCAATTGAAAAAATGATCAAATCAGAACTTCACACATGTCAAGAAAAAGGAAGAACGGTTGACTTCATATGGATTCCTTCTCACATGGGTATCCCTGGAAATGAAGAAGCAGACTGAAGTGCGCGTAGTGCAGTGTCTAGTGCGGAATCAGAAATAATATTAAAGATGACTTTAAGATTTCTATTAAGGCAAAAATCTTAGAAGTCTGGCATAACGAATGGCAAATATCAACGTCTAAACTACGACAAATTAAAGATACAGTTAAAGAAACTAAATCTTTTTACAAAAATTGTCATGAACAGAGTGTAGTTAACAGATTACGATTAGGCCATACTAGACTGACACACTCTTATCTTTTTTCTAAATGTAACCCACCAATATGCGACCACTGCAACTCAACCTTAACAGTAAAGCATATCTTTGAATGTGACAAATTTAAACATCAACAATCTGTTTATAATAAAGATTCAAACTTATCAGTTGTGCTAGGTCAAAATAGATACTCAAAGAACTTAATAGATTATTTAAAAAGCCATCAATGTGTTCCATAAGATTTGACTTTATTTTTTTTTTGTTGTACAAAATTGCTGACTTTTTTAGTACTATTTTGTAGGATTTTTTTTTGTAACCATGTAATATATCTATTATTGTAAAATTGTATAGATCCGTCGCTAATAACCATTAGGTGGATGCGACTTTTTCCTTAAATAAAAAAAAATACTCAAAAAGTACTCAAAATAAATAGGTACCCATAGAAAGTGGTGGTGATGCAAGTTCTATTAAATGATTTGGTCGGGTGCTGTATTTATTTTGGGCTAGAACTTTGCGTTATTGTCTCTATTTGCTTTTCCTCTATCATTTATTATTCTTAAGAATGTGGTGACGTATTCGACAAACCTAGTGGTGTTTTTTATTTCTTCTGACCATCGCCCCTTCGATCTTCCTCGGGTTCTTTTACCATCTACTCTGACTTGTACTAGTAATCTCTCCGTACCTTCCTTTCTTCTAGCTATGTGTCCAAAATACCTCAATATATTTTGGCATAAAATAATTGTGACAATCCTAGTGTTGATGTCTAGATATTTGTGCAGTGTGCTATCCAGGGTACGCTTATCATTCTATGATATACTCACATTTCAAAGGCAGATATACCCACATTTTCATATGTCGTGAATGAGACTTTTTGATTCTGCAGCTTATTTAGCGATAGGAGAAATAAGTGCCCGCACCAGGAGCAGTTTTCCTAGGTTATGACCGTTTCTTTCCAGATTTAAATAAGTTTTACCATTGCTGATCTGGCCATTCTAAGGCGTTGACGTATTTTTTTCTTCGCGTCAACCATTGTTTTTGATAACCTGAGTAATTAAAACGGCTTACCACTTCATAACTTGCTACGTTTCATATTTCCCACTGATTAACTATTTCTGGTTCGATCGATGGTCATCACGTTGCTCTTATGAACATTAATTTTAAGTCCATATTCACGACCAACAGTATCTAGTCTGTTCATAATGTATTTAAGTTGATATGATAATGATACTAGTACTAAAGTGAAGTCAACATAGCGGAGATTGCTGATTTTTGCTATCCCTGTTTAGATATTTCTATACATCTGTTTTATAGATTACCGTAAAGCGTTCGACAGGGTCAAGTGGAGACACTTATGGCGAATACTAAAAGAAGTAGGCGTACCACAACATCTAATTACGCTTATAACTGAACTATATGAACACACTACTGGATCAGTTAAAGTACTTGACACACTTTCGAACGAGTTTCATCCAGAACGGGGTGTCAGACAAGGATGTATACTATCTCCACAATTATTCAACATATATGAAGAGTATATTATGCGAAGAGCACTTGAAGGATGGGAAAAGGGCATCTCAATAAATGGTCATAAACTAAACAACCTACGTTTCGCAGATGACACAGCCCTTCTTGCAAATAGTCAAGCAGAGCTGATGGAACTTATACGACTGATCGAAAACGGAAGTCAAATATTTGGTCTGCAATTAAACATATCAGAGACAAAATTCATGATAGTGGATAGACTACACAACAATCATCCACACATAACCACAATTGACCGGTTCGAGGTTGTGAGCTCATATTTATATCTGGGATTATTAATCACAAACACAGGGTCATTACAAGAAGAGATTAAACGTAGATGTGATCTAGCAAAAGTTGCCACAGCAAAAATGACCAAAATATGGAAGGAATGTCAAATTTCAAGAGCGATAAAGATGAGGTTGATCAACTGCTTAATATTCCCAATACTGACCTACGGATGTGAATCTTGGACTCTAAGACAATCGGAGAGAAGAAAGATAGACGCCACTGAAATGTTCTGTTGGAGACGAATGTTACGAATTCCTTGGACCGACCGTAGAACAAATAATTTAATTTTAAGAGAGCTAAAAGTTAGCCAACGACTCTCTAGTAAAGTCCATCTTCAACAATTAAAATATTTTGGGCATGTTATGAGAGCAAACACAGAAAACATGGAAAGACTCATAATACAAGGAAAGGTAGAAGGCCGAAGATCACAAGGAAGATTCCCAACAAGATGGATAGATCAAATTACAGGAATATGCCAAAGACATTGCATGAATTAAAAGAAATGACCAGAGACAGAGATCTCTGGAGACGGACTATACACGACATCACGTCGACCACTACACTCCCCCTGGGGGGTCAGGATTGAAGAGAGATATTCCTCTTCAGGGTTTCTGGTTAAGTATTACTGTCATGCAAACAAATCTCCGAGAAGTTCCACTGGGGATGTTCCACATCCTGGCTGCGTATGAGAGTGATCCACATGTGGGCTGCAGTTGTTGATTGGTGTTTATTATTGACTGCAACGTTGGAATTATAGATCTAGAAGACCTAAAAGCAAATTTAATGAGTTTGTCGAAATAATTCATGCATCCCAAATTGCTTTGTGTAAATTGTGCCTATATAGAAAGGTTGAAATGAAAATGAAAAACAGAAACACGTCAGGTTTAAGCAAGCATCTAATATCTTTTCACAAAAAGGAATTACAAATATTTCTTCCTGAAAAAAGAAAATTCTGGTTCCTAAAAAAAATGTACTTACTACTTTATTTTGGTATATTAATGTATTTATTAAGTAAATATCTCCTTAATTTACAATAACTTCTTTTGATTATCATTGCTTTTTTACCTATTCTTTATTTTTTCAAGTTAGTTTTTTTTATATAAAAAAAGAGCTAAGACTGTTAATACCATTTATGTTGCTTTAGATTTCCAGATTTCCATTTCATATATGGTGGGGCTCCATCACTTCCTTTCTAGACAGATAATGTTCTTATATCAGTTCAGTTCGTACAGTGAAGTTTATGTCATTGACCCATTATTACCTAGCGTGCCATATATGCTACAGAAAATGTTACTGTATCCAAAAATTAATTTCAGATTTTCTGAAAGTTTTAGATGTTTGCAAACCTCATTTAACATTAGTCTTTTATGTTGCCTAAATGATGGTGTACACGTAATTGATATTTTGTAAAAGGTATATATGTACAATTGTTACCTAACCTAAAAAGTGTTGAAAAATTTGTAAGAATAAAAATGATCAATTCTCGACCGTAAGTAAATAATTTCTATATTTTTCAAAACTAACGTTTTATTTTCTTTATGAGTATAAAGTAAGGTATACAGAATGGTATGATAACTGCAGTTTAGTTCAATTATATTTTGTAATTATTTTATAAGCCTTTGTTTATTAGCGTACGATATATGGCACTCTAGGCTAAATGGGTATGTTTTTTTTAGTATGACTGTTCAAGAACTTACGGATATCATTGAATCTGATGAATGGTGGGAAAACTATGATGTTTCTAAAAAAATATATATAGCTTCACCCGACGAACACAATGTGTCAGATGATGATTCAGCTGATGAAGACTCTGGAGGTTTGTTAGACAATTTGTCAAGCCATCAGTTACAAGCAGAAGCCGAAGCTGTTTCCGTAAGCGGTAGAAGGATAAGTTATGAACAGCATGAAGAAAATTTACCAACCACTTCTCACACTAAACAGAATAAAGAAAATAAAATAAATAATTGGGCAAAAGATAATTTAAAGAAAAGAAAATTGTACAAAAGATACAGATTTGGTTTGTACCATGTGTGTGTGTGTGTGTGTGTGTGTGTGTGTGTGTGTGTGTGTGTGTGTGTGTGTGTGTGTGTGTGTGTGTGTGTGTGCTGTTGGTTTCTTTTGACTGTGGACTTAATCCATTAGCCGAACTAAAATTGCTCTTATAATATATCTTTTATACTCATTATATTTATGAATATTTATAACCTATTTGATAATAATGATTTACAATATTAATTTACATATATTATACAGGTACCTACATATATTTACTGAGTGTTTTTCTATTTTTGTTAAAGAATTAGACAAAAAATACTATATGCTATATTAAATTATATACCAATTTTTTTTTTTTAATTTTTTTTTAATTTTTTTTTAACACAGCGCTAGGGCATAAACCCGGTTCAACACCTCGGAGGTTTAGGCCCTCTTTGTGTGTTTTCTTTTTTTTTTGATAATTTTTTTTTGGTTTAATTTTTTTTTTTTTAATTTTTTTTTTATTTTTGTTTTATTTTTTTTACTTAGCCTTTTTTGTATTTTTTTTTATTTATTTAAGTTTTTTTTTATATTTTCACTTATACATTTGTACCATGTGGAAAAACAATTTTTCACAACAGAATTATACTCAATATCGAGATAGGAGAGCTGTGGATATTTTCGAAAAAAAATTTTGATGAGAAAATTGTTGAATATTTAGGAAATGAAAGTAATGAATATACGTTATTCATAAATTTTCCGAATCTAAAGATTACGTTGGGCGAAATGAGACGTTTTCGTGGTATACTCATTGTTTCTGGATATTGTAATCTTTCTTCTAGAAGAATGTTTTGGGATTCAGGTGAGGATGTAAGAAATAACATGGTATATCAAGCTATGAGACGTGACCGTTTTGACCAAATTATGAGATTCGTGAACTGCAGTGACCTCACAAACCTACATAAAGATGACAAAATGTATAAATTTAGATTTTTGATGAATTTACCTTTAAATTCCTAGCTTTCCATATAAGGCACGACCTCTAACTCAAAAAATATTTAAACAAATGTGCTAATTTCAGTTATAAATTGCTTAGAATATGTGTCTCATGCCTATATTTTAAAATTAGCACTGTAACTTAAAAAATGATTAAGGCATTAATGGGTTAATTTGTTTTTTTTTGTGATTTAACCATGTTTGATTTACTTCCGTGGGGCATGGTAGATAACTGAGTTAGTTAGATCATAGGCACGGATCGCTTAGATCGTGGCTTCAAACCCCCTCTAGTAACGTTTAATAAATAGCAATAGGCTAATGGGTAACTGTAAGACTCTTGCTGCAAGACCAAGACCAAGACCGGGAGTGCAATACCAAGACCAAGACCAGGTGTATTGGCGCAAAACCAAGACCAAGACTGTCTTAGTCTTGTTTTGTTCTTGCATTTAGACAACACTATTCCCAGTCCTTGATGCAAGGTGGACCTTTCATCTACGTCAAATATATGTACTTCTACCTCTGTCCCATAGTGTTTGACCATAAATTTTTCTGAGTGTTTTTATCTCTGCAGTTTCAACATTCTTTTTGACCTCCCTGTTTCAGGTCGTGTTTCTGCTACGTATGTAATTATTGATCTGATGACGGTTTTGTAAATTCTGCTTTTTATTTTTTCCGATATTTTTATTTCTCCATATTGTTTTATTCAGACAATCTGCGGCTCTGTTTGCTCAATTTGATCTTCAACATCTGTTTAGAGCTTTCCGTAGCTAGATAGTGTGATGCCTAGATAGTTAAAGTCCATCACTTATTAAATTTGCTGTTATAACCTCGTAATTCGTCTTTCTTTGGGAAATTAACATGTTAGATTATCTGGCGGTTATATTAAATAGGTACAGCATACGTTGTAAATCATCTTCTTTTGAGAGCGTATTGCAGCGAGTCGTAGGCATAGCAGATTATTTTAAGTTTTTCTCGCATTTGGTATCCTTTTTTAGTTCTTACTTTTTTATTATTTCATCCATGATCAGGTTAAACAATCGAGGACCCTGTCTTATCCCATTGCTAGCTTCAATAGGGTTAGTTAGTTCTTCTTCTACTTTTACTTGTATTTTGTTGTTTTAAATCTATGAATCTAAATCTAATATATTATAAATAAAGCACGAAGGAGCCCTAGAGATAAATTATGAATTTTTTTTTAATGGCATAGGCAAGTGCCATACAGCCAGTCACAACATGAAAATATTCTATCCAGAAAAAAAAATTGAGTAGTACAATATAAAACGATAATATAAAATTCAAACTTAAGTATCCTTACAAATTTTAAGCATTAAAATTATTATTAAGGATAGGATAGGGATAAAACATGGACACTCGTTTCTCGTCTAGGGACCCATCAAGACATTGCTTTTAAGACAAACTAGATTAGGTCACGGATAAAAGGTAATAACAAATGGGGTAAAATAGAGGTTAGGATTCTAATTACAGTTAAATATTGAGCTTACTTTCGCAAATAAATTCCATCAAACATTCATTTACAACTCTTATATTTAGAGATAGCAGATAGCACATATTGTACGGAGGAAAAATTTTGATGTTAACTAAATTTTTTATTAGATCTTCAGTTTGTTTTGTGTATTTTTTGCATTCGAAGAAAATGTGATTTAGATCCCCTTCTTTTTGACAGTCTGGACATAAATTTGAATTTACGATTTTTAGTTTGGACAGATGACTAGGATAGCAGGCGTGTCCAAATTTTATTCTAATTATGGATGTTATATACCTTCGTAAAAAAAATTATGAAATTAACTAATTGTTTTTGTACACATTTATAAAATACTTATTTATATACTTTTTTTAATAAAAAAAACTAGCATTGTTGACGTATGTCATCTATACATCTCTATCTTCCTTATTATGTCTTTTTATTTAAACTTTTATGATACATTTTCAACGCTATACATTTTTTGTCTTTGCGATAAAGCAAATGCCTGCAGCATTTAGTTTTACACAAATTAGAATCATTCATTTATTACCCATCGTATGTTGCATTTATAGCCGTTTTAAGGAAACGAAGGAAATTTGGATGACATTTATATACCTTTAGAAAGAAAAATGAATAATATAAAATTTTAAGTAGAACTAAACCTACTAAATATTTAATATACCTACCTCGGAATCTAATGCGAAAACATATAAACTTTAACGATGACGAAATAAGTATCGAAACAAATCTTTTCCACTCACACGCAAGTGCGCTCAAGTTGTGGGCGATTTCTGGTTTGTGGCCCATAAAATTTTAATTGATATTCTCTATAGTTTTATATACCAAAAAAGGTATTCACTCACCATCACCAGCACCAGTCACCCATCACATTATAAATGATGAAGAAATGAAGCGATTTTTAATATCGTTTGCGTTTTTTATTTTATTACCTTTTTGTTAATCCCATCGGAATTTTTAGCGCGGCCAACTACCAGCCACAGTTTCGCAGCTACGGACATATTATTGTAAACTATTAATGGTGATGAAGAGCATACTGGCATCCATATATTACACAGAGCCGGAGGCAAGACATGGTCTCCTGCTGTGTATTTCCAATGACCAGACCCACACAAATACTTATTGGATTTATGGTTAATTTTTTTTACAAATTTAATGCGTCTATCATCAGTGTATATAACCAACCCCATCTGGACACTGTTCCACTTGAATTTTAATTCAAAATTTTGTAATAATTTATTGGGCTTCAACTGGACTCTTAACTTTAATGGAATTCTAATGAATCAATCAAGAGGAAAGTTTGATAAAATACTAATTTTTATCTACTATATTTATGCTATATATTTATTTTAAAGCGGCATATGACAGTGTCTTAAGACCAAGTTTTTACAATGCTATGAATGAGTTAGGAATTCCAAAAAAAGTCATATGTTTGATAAAAGTGACAATGGCGAAGATGGTATTAGCAGTAAAAATTCAAAACGACTCGTCAACACCCATTTGAAATACATAGGGGGTTAAGGCAGGGAGATGCGCTGGCGTGTCAGCTTTTTAATGTCGCCTTAGAAAAAGTTGTACGAGACGCTAATTTAGATAGCGGAGGACTAATATTAAATAGATCAGTCCAAATTCTAGTATATGCAGACGACGTGGACATTATAACAAAAACCAGGGCGAGAACTGTTGAAATCCTAACCGAGCTAGTAGCAGCAGCAGATTGAATGGGATTACATATAAATAAATAAATAAAAAAACAAATTCATGGCGACTAACACAAACACAAGAGCTGGAAATGTTGACGCAAATTTAATCATCAATGTCCAAAACTTCGAAGAAGTCAAAGAGTTCATATATCTAGGGACATCGGTTAACCCCAATAATACCACATCTGAGGAAATAAAAAGGCGAATAATAATTGCAAACAGGTGTTATCATGGTTTATCAAAGTACTTAGCTAACAAACGTCTGTCTCAAAAAAACTCGTATAAGGCTGTATAGAACACTGATAGTCCCCGTTCTCACATATGGATCAGAGGCATGGACGCTAACGAAAACAGATGAATCCGCTCTACCGATTTTTGAAAGAAAGGTGCTACGCAAGATATTCGGAGCGGTCTGTGAGAACGGAATATGGAGGCGTAGATATAACTTTGAACTGCAGAATATCTACAAGCATACGTTTGGTGGTAAAGATATTACCACGATAATTAAGCGAAATCCCCTGCAGTGGACAGGACATAGCCCGGACCCCTGAATCGAACATGATAAAAAAGATTTTGATGACCGCAACACGTGGGAATGAGAAGACGGGGTAGACCAAAGCTGAGGTGGATGGATAAGGAAACACAAGATGCGGAGAAGATCGGAGTCGGCAACTGAAAAATGCAAGCAAGGGACAAAAGAGAATGGCGTAGAAAGCTTGAGAAGGTCGAGGTCCTCTAAGGGCTGTAGCAGCAAGATGATGATGATGATAATGATGATGATATTTATGCCTTATTATGTTACTTATACATTCCAACACGTACAGTGCATTTTAAATTCTATTA